TGGGGAGAGGGGGGGCGGTGTAGTGGGGATGGAGGGTTGTAGGCATAGTGGGCTCGCGATAGACTGTTTACTTTAGAGGGGATAACGTCGAACAAACCATTTCATATACAATCCATTCGTTTTATTCGACAAAGTTGAAACCGCTTATAACTTGTCAATCCTATTAGGAGTAAAAAAATCATTTCCGGGCAGAGGTACTGAGCTTGATAGCAAATTACGTAGCTTATAGTTTTTTTCTGTTGTCAACCCAACGATCAGATGGATGAATCTCATCATTGACCATTGTCATTTTATTATTATTCATTTGGTTCATTTCCTCGCCCTCGACATACATGTGGGCTTGTAGATTTAAGTAAGGAAATATATCGTAGACTACTATACAATAAATTTCCATGATGTAAGCGTGCGCTCATTAAATTTTGAGTCCGATACAATTAGTTTGTAACAGACTACTGAAGAGTACGATTTCTCCAATTAGCGCGCTTACCTTCTTTTAAACTTATATGCCCAGCGAATATACTTGTGGTTATAAATTTTCTTTACTTCATGGCGGGACTTATTAATGATTAGGGTTATAACGCATTAGCTTTGTTTTCTTAGAAAACAATTAATATCCAAAATTATGACATTATGACATTATGACATGAAAGCAATATAAAAGTGACGCACTGCTGTGCAATAGTCGACAGAATTTGAGAAAAAAGTCAGCATTCAATACTGCACCGCAATCGCCATCCTTCCATTATTTCTTACCTCAATCTCCTTCAAAACCCACGAAGGCGGGAGACGATGGTCTATATCGATTGATTTCAATTATGTTTTTTTTTCAGCTTTGATCTAACAGGATCGAACCATCTCCGAGGAGTTTCTCACTAGATTGCTTTCAGCTTAAGCGGTTTAGATGTCTGTCACGCCTACTGAGGCTGCTAAACGATAATTAATTACCCCCTAGCCCCTTGAGTAGGCGTGACAGACATCTAAGTCGCTTATGTTGATTGCAATTTAGCAAGGATCCCCTAGGATATAGTTCCACCCACAGTTAGTAAGACAGGGTCTGGGAATGGTCCCTTAGATCCTTTTCCCTTCTACAAAAGTAGGGCATATACAAGACCAGTAACAGAATTACGAATATTAAACCCGTTTTCGGTATCTTAGTTTCTACACTTTACTTTTACTCGTAGTTTTACGTCACGTAATGGAGATAATGATAGTTGAATTTAAGCCGTGACGGTAAAAACCAGTCTTGTTTAGGATATATAAAAATAATTGATGAATTTTTTTCTAAAAGAGACTAATGCGCATTGTATGGCTTTCAAAATATTGCTGGGGACCCTTATCCACGCGCTCAAATGTGTGTCTTTTTCTCCTGAATAATTCAAGCAAGTAAAACATGTTGTATTTTCTCTTCATTTTGCTGTTACACCCGAACTTCATTGGAAAAAGCGGGGGTGTTCCGTTACATATATGATGACTCGGCGACAAACGCTTCACTACTAAAAAATAAAGTCGAAAACAGATTTTGAGGCACCGGCGTGCATAAAAAGCTTTAAACACTTTTGATGTGAGCAATGGTGTATCTAGGAGGTGACATGGAAGGTGTAGGGCACATGCCCAGAACGCCACTTGAAGGGGGTGCAATTTTGTGATGGAGTTATCGTGGTATTGAATGTCAAGCGTTGAGGCAGGGGTCGGACTGGGACGAGATTTAAGAGCTTGTCAAATGTAATATGATCACTGAAGCATTTCATAAATAGCATGCAGACTTGAGGAATATTTTTTTTGTCATCAAAAAGCATGAGATTTGGCTGTAGGCTTATATGGACGGCAAACCGATGTATTCCGTTAAAAATTGTCATCCGAATCTGATTCACTGGGGGGCTCAATATTATATAAATGACTTTTCACCCAATTCTTGGGTGAATAAAACGTTTTGTTCGTCTAAGGCCGAATACACCCATGACACAGTTGCTCTAAATTTACGCAAGTTTTTTTTTTTTTTTTTTTTTTTTTTTTTTTTTTTTTTTTTTTTAGCGCGTAACGTATACATGTTTGTTTAGTTCTGGTTCGATAAAGCCAATGACAAATACAAAAAGGTTAAATTTCTTTCAAAGAGACAATACAATGAATTGTGCGGCTAAAACATTTTTCCTCGTTATATATAAACATGTAGGCCCCTATACACGGTGCATTTCTATCTAGAGCATTGATATTACAAATCCGGCGTACATTTTTGTCTATCACTAAATGTGCATTCCTCTCGAAAACGCCAAAAGTTTCTAATACAAATCCCATCTTTAAAGTAAAACGACATTAAAGCATTTTCTTAAAGTCAGTGCAAACAATATCAACATAAGAGTTGGTGCAAGTGTGAATGCTTTACTGGTTGTACACGTCTGTTCTTCTGAAGGCATCCTGATTCGGCCTTCTAACCCTTGATATATCGGAGTGTACTTTTGGATAAAGTCCATTATGACATCTGAATCTAGATCGTCTGGAATCGTAAATTCAAAGAATAGCACCATTAGAAAAAACGAGAAATGGACAAGCAAACATTCATTTCATAATAAGACTTATATCCAAAATGACCATCCATCTATCTAGAGACATATCTGTGAATATCTGTGAAAAATCTATCAGTCGCCCTGGTAGAGGGTAGGCATACTTCGTTTGTGCATATTACTACAGTAAGAGTACGAAGGATATGCAGCGGGGAACCGTTATATATATAGGGTTGCTGACATACGATTTTTACAGCTTTGAGAACTGTGAAATGACTTATACCCAAAATGACCATCTATCTATCTCGAGACATATCTGTGAATATCTGTAAAAAATCTATCAGTCGCCCTGGTAGAAGGTAAAGTATGCCCAGGGCAGGGTTTTACCGTTATAATTAGAATAAAAGCTAACAAGCTGTCAATGGCAATTCATTCCTATGACAAACCTTCAAACTTAAAATATCACACAAGAAGTTTTTATAGTGGTATTTTAAATAAAAATCTTAACCTTTCCTTAAGAAGTAATAATTATTATTATAAAACGTTTTACTTGGTATTTTCCTCTTTTTTTCTTTCTTTTAACCGAAAGCATAACATACTCAGGACCTACCTATTCCATACGGAAATACAATATTGTCTTTTAAAACGTCATATGCATCTCCTCCTCCTATTAAGAAAGTGGTGGTGACCACATCGTATGATTTTGTCTTAACGAGGGGTTGGAACTCGGGGACTGTACAGTCAGCGCACCTGACGTTAATGCTGACCACTCGACTGCCCACTGGCTTAGACAGGTCATACACAACTCGAAGACCTGAAGATAAATACACATGTAATGACTCTTAAAGCTCAAAATAAACAGAAAGCAATATTTATTAAATATTAAATATGGACAAGAATGACACCGGTGGCAGATCCAGAAGTTGACGATTTGACAATTGGCAATACAATGGAAAATGCGCAGGTGACAGCTACCGGTACTTTGTTTTTGCCACTTATACGTTATTTATTGACGAAAACTTTTTGCCATGGTCTAAAACATGTAATATAGGACAACCATGAAAATGTGCTGAATGTGCCTATACAAAACCGATTGTCTATTTAAATAAGAGATGTCTTACCTGAGACCTGTAAGAAACGACCGCTTCTCTTCTCGTATTCAGAAACAGAATGTTCCATGAGTTCCCAAAGCGTACTTCCACTTATCCTGACGATGTCTACACCATTCCCGAATGGTGCGGCACTCAGTACGTCTGACACGTAAATGTCACCTGGCGAACCAAAAGTGAATTGTTTTATAACATGATGCTATTTTTGATGATATTAATCACAATTGTACAAAAAAAAAAAAAAAAAAAAAAAAACAAGGAAAGTCAAACCAATTCATGCATGGTCGTTGAAACAATTTCACAAACACTCCTTACCATTTTCTATATTGTCACAAAGATAAATTTTGGTACATATTGTGTGGTAGACAGAAAGTTAGAGAGATGCCATGAACAATCATAAATTTTAATACACAAGTATAAAATTGTTAGAAGGATTCATGTCCATCAATGAATCGATGGATGACTTGCATAAAATAAACTTAATAAAAATGTTGATATAAAAAACAAACACCACAAACGAACACAACATGATCGTAGAACCAATTAAGAGAGATCGAGGTGTAAAGGCACATTTTGGACCCTGGTACTAAAGCCCCTGTAGCAAGAAAATCTGACTCCCCCAGTCAAAATTTCATAATGAAAATCTGACTCCCCCCCATGAAATTTTGACTCCCCCTCACAGAAATTATATTAATTATTAATCTTATTTTATTTGAGTATATAACTTTTATCTTGTAGTATGCATAATAGAGGATACATTGGCACTTTTTGAAAATTTTCATGATAAAATAAGAAAATTAAAAATGTGTATTTTCCACCCAATAACTCCCATGAAAAGTTATGGGAGTCCAAATCCTACAGGTAGTAAGATGAATACTTGTTTCAAGAAATTTCACCAAAATTTTCACCACTAAATTTGCAAATACTAACAAAATATATGTCACAATGCAAACCATGTGGAAAACAATGGTATGATGACTAAATATAAAATAGGCCCTTTCTTCATGGGAGTCCGACTCCCATGGGTATAAATATGAAGATTTTTCATGATTTTTTTTTCATTTTTTGCACCAAATATTTTACCACCAACTTTCAAATATTTTCAATATATTCTTCATTAAGTATACTTAAGGGAAAGATCACCAAATGTCAGATAAATAGCTTTTACATAGGGGAGACATTGGGTGGTAAAATACACATTTTGAATTTTCTTATTTTCTTTCTTATTAAAATTTTCACCTGCAAACTAACTAAAAGTGCCAATGTATCCTCCATTATGCATTAGTCATATACTCAAATGAAATAAGATATACTAAGTTTTGTGGGGGGAGTCAAAATTTCATTGGGGGATTCACATTTTCATTATGAAAATCTGACTGGGGAGTCACATTTTTGGGGAGTCAGATTTTCATGGTACACCCCTTTTACACTGGATGGCGTCCTCTCTGCGTCCCGTAGTGCAGCCCCGTTTGAGAATAAAAAATACTTTACGTGCCGACAGCTGGCCGATTACTGAGCATTCATTTTGCAACCAAAGCGATGAGTGCGCCTCCTTTCTACGGGGACAGAGATGTCAGTTTCATGGTCGCATAAAGGACGCAGAAAGGACGCTCTCCAGTGTAAAGGGGGTTTGAAGGAGTTTGGTTGTAACATGTAGTTCTACAGAGAATGGCAGGAGTCGTTAGTAATACCAATATCGATTGGTGCTCGTATATCGCCGCTGTTCCACAGGCCAATGGAGGCATTCGTCCATCTCCTTCCATCAGTGGGTTTCAAGTAGGTGTCAACTAAGGCGTCTGCTATCAGATTACCTGGAAAACGTACAGAAAGATGATGCAAATCACTATTTCGTTTGACTTTTTATTCTAAAATGCGCGAATTGTAGAGAATTTAAACTTCATGATATTGCCGTGACTCGAGCGAAGTGAAAAATTGGTAACAATTTTGAAGCCCTTCACAAGTACTGAAATGTGTTACTTTCATTTTCAATACTTATTACATAATACAAAATAACCAATTTCCTTTCATTTTTTGATGAACTAAAAAAACAAAAACAAAGGGTAACACAGGTTTCATTTAATTTGTAAAACGGTGGATAAAAAAACGGACCGATCAGGCTGATTTTCAACCTCGACCTGTATTTTATGAATATTCATCAGTTCCGTGAGTTTGGAGACAAACGGTATAACGGTTTTCATTTTATTTATATAACGGTGTATAAAATAGACTGAAAACACCGCAACTTTTGAAAAATGGTCCGATCATGATGATTTTTGACCTAGATCTGTATTTTATGAATATTCATCAGTTCCGTATGCTTTAAAGACAAAAGGTAATATGGTTTTCATGTTATTTATAAATAATTACACTGAAAGTGCACGGCGACAGTGACTACAGACACAGGCGACGGTTTTATGTACAAGCACATCTGTGTCTGAACATTTCATTTCATTTTTATTTTATGCTTAACAGTTACAACAGAAAAATGTTTATGAAATATTCAAGAAATAATATCACATATATTTACCTAAAACACATTCAGCCAGGCGGCATTTCGCATTATCCATGAAGACCAGGCTGTAGCCTATCTTTTGTGAACCATATGCTGTAACTCGTTGTTGCCACGGCTGCATCTCTGTTACTGTAGCATTATCTAAAATGAGAAACAAAGATGTGTAATAAATCGCAATAAATACCCCAAAGTAATGCCTTTTCACGGTGGAATAAGTTATTTCCTCCATTTGAACAGGAGTATATTATTAGTATCAAAGGTAGCGTACTTTTTGTCCTAAAAGTTCACCAGGATGTCTATTCTTGAAAACCACTAGAAAGTAAATAAAAAATTGCTTTCAAGCTTTCACTCAGTTTGAGACAAGTGGAAACAAAAAGCGATTGAAATCCTTACAAAGAATTTTGAACCCTCACAAAGAATTTTGAGAAACTCGCAGAATTTATGGAACTGGAGAATTTATGTGAGCGACTCAGAAAATTATCCTGCAAATGTCAAATATGCGGTCAAATTAAATGTCCGTTACGTATACAATTTTGCAGAAAAGTGGGTTATATTCCATTTACCTACGCCTCGAAAAAATCCTGCAAACGGTTTAATATTAGGCACAGTTTCTCAAACTACCAAACATTTCTTTGCCACCAATGATGTGAATCTTTGCATTAACCTTCCGTAATGTTCTTATCCAGTAGAATAGGGTTACCAGTCCATGATGTCACAATTCCCGCTGCATCGAACGTTACACATAAGTGCCCCAAATATTTAGCCATCCAAAAGTCAGATACCAATAACACTTTGCCACCAGACGCCTGGGTTATAACGGTTGGGTACTCGCCTTCGGGAATTTCTTTATCTGGTGGGGTACCTGTGCACAAATAATAAGGTATATATATACACTAGGATTATAGTGTCTATTGAGAGAGAGAGAGAGAGAGAGAGAGAGAGAGAGATTTACTTACCGGTATAAAGAAATGTGTTACTGTGCCCACCAACGATTATATCCACTCCTGACACTTGCTCAGCAATCTTTTTATCTACAGAAAACCCAGAATGTCCCAATGCAATGATTTTATTGATACCCTGTGACGTTAATCTTTCGACCTCTGCTTGGACGGCCGAAACTTCGTCGGTGAAAATCAAGTTACCTGGAAGTTAACATAAAAATATTGTCAAACCTTGAAATTTACAAGTCTGTTCTCAATTTTCGAAATTAAACTCAGGCCTCAAGACTGAGGCCAATTCAACGCGTCACATCTGCCACTGTTTTAATTTTGTGTGTGCGCCCATACATCAGCAGGACTGATTAGAGCATAATAAAATATGAAGATTTACATAACACAAGGCTACATAACACAATATAATATCGGTATAATAATAATAATAATAATAATAATAATAATTATTATTATTATTATAAAGGTACACTTTTGTAATTTGAGTATGGAAGGATTCACCTGGGTTTGATATGGTCGGTGTAGCCTTATATGTGTAACCGACTACACCTATCTTCTCCCCGGCCACATCTAGTACTGTTGACTTGTTGAACAGTCCTTGTATTTCTGGAACATCACTGGCGTCGATATTGGCACTTATTACAGGGAATGTGACGTTTTGAAGAAAAGGAAGAAGGCCGCTAACCTTATTATCAAACTCGTGATTGCCTAATGCCTGAAAGAAAGTAAAATACATCTTAATCATAATAAGGTTTTACAGTATTCGTTAAAATTTAGACATATTCATCAGATCGATTGTATCTGTTAATCTCATTGGCAATTATGACATCATCGGTAAGCTTACATTTGTGTAAATGCTAAGGAATATAGTCAGTGAACATTGACGGTTTATCGATTATCCGAAAAATGAATGTGAAACAGTAGACAATAAGGAGTTTTTGGGCTAATCCTGACAGTACCTTTAATGTCAGTTGCTGTGTTGGCTATCTCAATTAAATATCTATAAAAAGTAGAGGAACACCCAATGTTTTATCATATTTTATCTAGCACGGCCCCTCACTGACCCTAGGTGTATATTCAAATGGCATGCAATTTGACTCGGATCTTCTTGTTGAGCCGGGATTAAGGTTTCGTTCACATGCAATGTCTATTTTCTAAATTCTATTTTCTATTCGCGGCATGTCTTATGATCACGGTCTATGCCCTGAATATCCCGCGGCGTAATTATTGGCAGCGCGAGCCAGTTACTATAAGTTACTATAATTAACTGGCTCGCGCTGCCAGTAATTACGCGGCGGGATATTCAGGGCACAGACCGTGATCATAAGATAGCGCGAATAGAAAATAGAATTTAGAAAATAGACATTGCATGTGAACGAAGCCTAATAAAGCCATGTGCGTAAGGGCTAACTGCGTTACTTAAGTCGTTTTCTATATCGTTTTCAAAAGTGGTTAAATGCGTGCGGACCTGGATAAGAACGCACTGCCATCACGGCAAGTCATCAATCATCAAACCCCACAAATGTGTGATTTATTTTCGTTAAAACATTTTCAGTTGTACTCGATATCTGGACGTTCTAGTTGACCTGTGGAAGAGAAACGGGTATTGTTTAACTCGCGTCAATTATCGCTTATCAAAAATGCATAAGTTATTTTATTATCGTTTTAATTAATTTTTACACTGATCTATGTACATATGTATATAGACCATTTTTAAATCCTGTGCCCCATTTCAGCATCTTATTTGCAAATATTAGTTTACATAAGAATTTAAATGTGAGAAACAAAGTTTTTTACTACTAGTGATACAGTAGACTCAATGAAAAGAAAGCAAAGTTAGAAGTTGCTCACTCTTCGTTGGTTATAACATCAACCAACACTTTAACCGAGAAGCTTCACCTAGTATGTTAGAAATATTATACCCTCTACCAGCGCTACGGATTGATTTTTATTACATAGGCCTACTCACAATGTCTCTAGCAAATTCATGGCTCATTTCTCCACTGTGGACAACGGTGCAAATAATTTTAATTTAAAGTAAAATCTGCGGCTCTGGTAAGAAGGCAGAAACATTATATACCCATACTAACCATAGCATCGTACTTCAGTTTATTCATGAAGTATGATGTCGCCATCCCCTTGTAGATAGTGAACCACAATGTGCCTTGGAACTGATCCCCTGCGTCCAATAACACCACGTTCTGTTCAGCGTTACGAATTTCCTCGATTTTAGTGTATCTTCGTGCCACTCCCCCGAAACATTCCCCCGCTTCTGCCTCTGTTTCCGAGCACCTGCCTCCATACTTGTCAAACTGTTCAAACCGTGCATGAACATCGTTGGTGTGTAAAATAGTCAAATTAAATCCATAGCTTAGAATGAAACATGTAAAGTAGAATCCGATTTTGACAAGCGTCTTCATCTTTCCGTCTCCCAGTATTTATAACTAAGACGAGTATGCCTCGTTTGGCCACGGTTTTACTTTTTATGCTAACCGTGCCTCGAGTTCAAATGAGCTACCCGCATGACCCTACACACTCCCTCTACACCGCCTCTTCCGATGTCACCGCGTCGTGATTAATCTACAGTTTCCCCCTGAAACTATCACGTATCATAATTGCATAACAAAAGAAATTCATAACATTATTATGCTAATCGTGCCTCGAGTTCAAATGAACCACTCGCATGACCCTACACTCTCTCAAGAAGTTATAACTCTTTATAACTTCTTGACTCTCTCTCTTACCGCCCCACTGTACAGATATTAGCAATCTTTTATAACCAGAGACAAATCTGTTAATATCTAGTGAAAAATCAATTTGTGGCCCTAGTACAGGGTACCGTTCATGGTGGTCTTTCGTTGAATCTTTCGTTTGATTGCGCTGGGTTGTTCTGAAAGTAGTTTATCATAACTAAACTGGGAGAGAGTGCGACGGTTGAGAATATTCTCAGAAAATTGGTCAGGCACGTGTATTACCATATGAGTAAAGTCCGATTGCAAATATTCCATGATATTTGCTTGTCACTCGCTCGATGCCGACATTGGAAATAGTCTGATATGAAACTTTGTGTGGAAAATGTCATTTTAGAAGGCAATAAAAAAGTCACAGGACAATGTTGATTAATTGCATTGTTTTCTTATACTGTAGCCTATCACCCCATTTCCATAGATTAGATCGACCTACTTTAGATCGACCTAACTCCCTGGGGGTTCACGCTAAATAGCTGTCAGCCGGGCGGACACGAAAGTTAATTACCCTCTTACAGCTTGTAGTAGGCGGGACGGACATTTAAGTCGGATTATCTGAAAGTAATCTAGTGAGACTCCCCGCGGGGATAGATCGATCTAAAATCTATGGGAATAGAGCCTATGTGATTGTGTATGTGTGTTTGCGTATATGTGCGTTGGATGCTTTGGAGGCTCCGGGTGTGGAAGTCCTCAAGTCTGTTTCATGGAGAAAGAGATAAGCATAAGCAGATCTGGAAGTCACCTGACTCTTTATATATGATTATGGTCATTTTCAAGATGAAAACCAGGACTGATACACTGCTTAGTTGTAAAATTTGCCTAAACATCGCCCACAAATGGTTATAATCATTTTTCAAATGTATTTGTCTCTCACACAATTCAAAATGAGAACTGCCAATTATTGCTCTGCCCAAGTGATCAGGATGACCAGAAAAAAGGGGAGACTTCCCTGCATAATTTTTTCAAAGTTTGTAACGCAAACAGGTATATCTGACGTTTGATATAGAATATGCATTTTTATTTCAACAAACTTCATTTTTCATTAATTTTTTCAGTGACAAACTGACAAATTTATTTGGTGGATTTTAATGCATTAAAAATATACTTTTCATCTGGAAATAACATTTTCTATTTTCCTTGCTAAAGGGGGGAATTAAAACCTCAATATGTTTTGATTCGCGGAATGAAAAGACTGACAGCTATACTCAGGAGCAGATCCAGGATTATTTGAAGGGGGTGGGGTCTAGAACGACAGGCCTCTAATGCGAAGCCGACTATTGCCCCCCTTGGTGTGGGGTTCGGGGCCTGCTTAAGGACCCGAAATTTTTTTTGTGTTTTGGAGAGTAAACAGTGCCCTTTTGTACGGTTTAGAACTATAATTTAGTTAGTCAAAATTCTAATTTCAAGAGGGAAATATTGGTGCGATATATTTTTCAGAAACCGAAGGGGGGTCAGGACCCCTGACCCCCCCCTCTAAATCTGCCACTGTATACATTTCAAACTATGTAATATTGTATGTGGTGACCCATTAGTATAAATAATATCTTATTGCTTTGATACATTTCATCCTCTCTGATATGCTTTTTTTGTAATATTTTGTACTTAATCAGAAAGGCAGTAGTGTATACGATTTCAGATAACTAACTAATTACATGTAGTAGAAGATGTGAAGTGTAAAATAACTTTTACATTAAAAAATTTGAATAAAATAACGGTCTGAAAATGTATCACTTTATTTTAGAGCATTTACCATACATTGTGCCTTGAGGGTGTCTTTCTCCTATTCAACTCTACCTGTATAGTCAGTGACATGGAAATTGGCTGGGAATGATGCATGGTTTATATTGAATGAATTTTTAGAAAAATTTTGACAGAGGTCATCACTGCAGTACGTTTTGTTACTTCCTGATATGGATAGCATATTTTGAATCACCTATAACTGCATCCGTTTAGTTTTTTTACTTCAGTCTTGTCAGAGGTAGTCATGATTTTCAAACTGTACAGAGTGGTTGATTTATGCATGTTGTTTACAGCTCTCACTTGTGGCGATGAAGGTATGTAGAAAAGTAGCCCAGTATATCATTATGGTTAGTGGTGTTACACATTAATTTTCAATTTATAGCACAGATGGTAATAATACCACTAGGTTGCAGTGATAATGAGGAAGATTTAAGATTTTTGTCAATGAGTAACAACTGTAATGCACAACCATACCAAACTTGGTATGATTTTGAAAATCCTGAAGTTATCATACATGTGATATCCCTGACTTCATTTGATCTGACTGATCTTTTTTTTTTCATTTATTTTTGTCACACATCTCATATCCTCAAAATTTTTTTAGGAAAGACAAACACCACTGTTTTTCTAAAGACAGGATGTATCCATGAAACTTATTTGGAATCTTTGGTAGTTTTGGATGACTGTCTGTCTGGGGAGGTGATATTGGTTACTGAGGCATCTTATGCTCATCCTCATCCTACGAATGGTTATACCTGTGCTAGGAATCAAGGGCTGATGACTTCTTGTAAAAGTGCTTCAGAAGCAGAAAAAAAGTGCAACAACAAAGAGTTTTGTCTTCTGAAAGCTGTAGCCAAAGGTCATTGTGAGGTGAAACATAATGGCAAAATCTCATCAGTTGGTACATATACAGCTGTTTTCCTTATAGTGAAATACAGATGCATTCAAGGTACAGTAAAAATTATTTAGGTTCATAAATTGCAGTATTCTTGAACCAGTTGCATGTTTGTACAAAGTCAATGCTATTGCAATCATGTATTGGGAAATATTCTGAATAAAGGTTATTGACTTATCCATAAGTTACCATTCATGTGCAAAAAAAGATTAATTTTTTTATTCAATATTACCAGTAAAAGTAAATACAAGGTAACACAGAAAATATGGATTTGTTCTCCAATTTGCCATAGAAATCATATTCACATTGCTGGTGGATTATGGATTTTGTTTCAGTGTGATTGGAGCTGGGGGAGGGGGGGGGGGGGGCTAAGATCAACATTCCAGTATGTTTACACCTTTGTTGACATGATTGTATGTTTTAAACCCCTTTTCAATTTTTGTTAACTTTGATTATTACAGTAAACACTGCTACAGTCACGTGTCCTCTATTGGAGGCTCCAGAAGGTGGCCACATCAAACTACCCCCCTCAAGAAGTCTGCTTTCTGTGGCTGAATTTGGGTGTGACCCTGGTCTAACACTGTCTGGAAGTGACAGGAGACAGTGTCAGGGGGACTCTACATGGAATGGGATACAGCCAGTATGTTGTTAGTATCTGTGTACGGTAATTAGTTGATATTTTCAATGGGGGAAATTGTTTTAAAACTTTTAGTCTAGTGAGATTTTTGAAAAAAGGCTCTGCATAAGAGGCAAGGGGCATTTTGGGGTAAAAGTTGGGAACCAGGCTTATTAGCATAATTTTGGGATGCTGAATCCGATTTACCCGGTTCCCAAGCGAAATTTTGCGTTTTTAACGGTCTAATTTTCAAAAAAACAAAATGGCCGCCAGATTTCCTATTTTCTGCAATATCTCTGGAACTAGACAGGCAAATATGACAAATGAAGTGTCTTTACGTATATTTTCAGGGTCGAGGAACATTATTAAGATGTTTCTGTTAGAATTAGATTTACGCAATTTTCCTAAATACGCAAATTAGGATCGCCATTACTGAAAAACCGTTTTACTTCTGTATCTCTGTAACTAGGCAAGCAAACATGACAAATGAAGTGTCTACACCTATGTTCTCAGGGTCAGGGAATGTGATAAATC